CAAATAAGAAATCGTACATTCTAGTATTATTGTTCTCTTACTACTTAGTAACTGTATTCAGATTTTGAAATTCTTTATTGTGCAGTAACTGCGAGAAAAGCGTTACATCGTGATTGGTATTCTGAACAATTTTGCTGTTTTAATTACTAGATAAAAGTCAGTACAACTTCCCAATAACCAATCGTATACTGCATAAAATTTCTACCAGGATTACACAGTACAAAATTTGTTGTTAAATTAACACATTCTACATGTCCCAAACGGTCCACTCAAATTTTTGTGTTAATTTAATATAAGATGAATATGTTAGAAAGTAATACAAATATTATACTTTAAATTGAGAAGCGCCATAACGGTCAGAACGTTAAGATGTTGAACTATTGTAAATTCATTTAAATGAATTAATTTCAGAAATGATAATTGCTTGCCGATATGGTTGTCGGACTTTCAACGCAATCAAATCTGAAAATATTAATAATCCCCCCAAATTTCCCAACTTAAAAACTGTAATAAACTTATAAGGTCTCGGTAGTCTAAAGGCTTAGGACGCTCGCATTATTTTTCGCAATAAGTTTATTACAGTTTTTAAGTTGGGAAATTTGGGGGGATTATTAATATTTTCAGATTTGATTGCGTTGAAAGTCCGACAACCATATCGGCACGCAATTATCATTTCTGAAATTAATTCATTTAAATGAATTTACAATAGTTCAACATCTTATAACGTTCTGACCGTTATGGCGCTTCTCAATTTAAAGTATTATGTTTAACATTAGTGGTCTTTCAATCTTATTATTACAAATATTATATGTATAAAAAAATTTACACAAAGAAGTGTAATACTTTGACACAATTTAAAAGCAAATTTTATGTTAAATTGACACATTTATAATGTTAAATTTAACTGAAATGTTACTTTGACATTTTTAATTTAGGCGATGGTTTGTATTGGTGATATGTAATATATAGATTTACTAGATATTTACTGTTATAAAGAAAAAAAACGCAAAATATCTGTACCTTTTTACATATAAAATATATAATTAGCTATACACACACATAGAACATATTTCTTCAGTAAAATTAACATTTATAATATATTAAATTAACATACATTTTATTCGTTTATTCTTAGAATTTATATTTTAAAACATTATTCGGTAATTATTTAGAATACGGGCCTCATCTTCGATTGTTGTCGAAATTGGGCTCATTCAACGCGTTTTTACTCAAAATGAAAGAATCTAGCAAAAAAATGCGGCGATCGGCCTCGTAAACCGAGATATCAAGCGTTAAAGTTCGAGATTTTAGAGGTTTTAAGATATCTGTCATCTCGACTCGGGCTATGTTTGGCGCTTACAGCGCTTGTAAGCATCAATTGTCCTTGTTTAATACTTAAAAATAACAAGGATGAAATGACGCTTAAAGTGTCGTGGGCATCAAAACGAACACAGTCTTGATATAACGCTATGTATACGTTCTGCTTTAATTACACAAATTCACTTCTTTAAAAACAAATTCTCTGCTTCACAAACAAATTCACTGCTTTAAAAATATAAATTCACTGCTTTAAAATCACAAATTCACTGTTAATGCAAAGAATTTGTGTGCTTAAAGCAGTGAATTTGTTTTTTTAAAGCAGTGAATTTGTGCAATTAAAACAGAACGTATATACATAGCGCTATATCGAGTCGGAATGACAGATATCTTAATTTGTAAAATCTCAAACTTTAACGCTTGATATCTCAGTTCACGAGGCCGACCGCCGAATTTTTTACCCAGATTTTATTTTGAGTAAAAACGCGTCCAATGAGCCTAATTTCATCAAAATCGGAGATGAGATCCGTATTCTAAATAATTACCCATTATTTTTATGTTATTTGTTTACTTATCTATAAATTGTGTTATTTTAACATTGAGAAATGTTAAATTTTAATTTAATACAAAATATTCAAATAACACAATCACATTATGTTAAATTAACATTCGGATATGTTGAAAATTCAACACAAAAATTTTAACGAGGATTCGTTTTAACATAAATAAAAAATGTTTTTTACCGCGTAGTTGTTAAAATAATCCTTGCGCTGATTAAAATTATTCTCATAACGGTTTTTTTAAAGAGTGAAACACATACATATTCTGATTTGTTCTGATTTTATACATAGCTGTCGATGGTTTCGATAACGTTAACATTTTCAACGAAACATTTTGAAACTTCGTACGTTATCGCAGTGACGATGAGTGTTTCAATGACGGTCTTGTAAAGATTTTTTAAATTTTTTTAATGTGTAATTTATATTATATTAGAGGATTTACGGGTTATCACCGAGTCTTCTTTCATGGTCGATGTCAACGTTTCGTGAACCATGCTGTTCACTTCATCAGGGCGAGGGGTGCACTGATACAGTATCAGTGCACCCCTCGCCCTGATGAAGTGAACAGCATGGTTCACGAAACGTTGGCATCGTCCATGAAAGAAGACACAAATCTTGATAAATATATGATTTTTTAGAATGTCACGAATAATTTAGTAAGCTAGAATCTAAATATTATCTTGGCATATATTTTCACATATTTTATCCTTCTTGTATGTTTTATGTAAATTTATTCATATATGCGATAAAATTAAATTAATTAAATTATAATTCGAGAGACTACAAACGTGATATGTAAATTCACATGAAATTATTTAGAGCACTCAAGATCCAGCTTTGAACGATATAGGCATTGTTTCTTATTATTTATTGATTTTATTGTATTCATATTTTACGGTCCTAATAAATCGTTTATTATAAATTAATTTAATTTAAATTAATTAAATATTTAATCCATGTGTTTCTCTAATCTATTTTGAAACCGCTATTGTAACTGCTATTGTTTGTATATTTCGGAATTTCAGAATATAATGGATACTCGCAAGGATACATCGATTCACTCCAAAACAAAGTTTATTATTGTAGAATACCATTTAAATTTGAATAGACAAAATTAAATCAACAGATAATTAATTTATCTGATTTTATATTGTTAACAATAATAAAATCGCTAAACACATAAAGATATAACTTGATCAAACTTCAATCCCAGTGAACACAAGTTACATGTAACATATCTGTTTATAGTTGTAATTTCTCACTCAACAATATAATTGTAACATAACACACTCGTTATATTACGATTATATTGTTGAGTGGGAAACTAACAGATACGTTACATATTACTTTATGTTCACTGGGATACCTGTATTATTTTATTAATATGAATAGATAATCAATTTTTTCTTATTTTATACGGAAGGAAAGATTGAATTACAGACATTGAGTTATACATACAGACTGTGTTTCGTTTCACGCATGATGCGCATGATACATTTTTTATTCTTGTTATTCATCGAATGTTAAACAAGGATAAATGATGCATTATGCACATCATGCGTGAAACAGAATGCAGCCACAGTGTTACTTTAGCGGTCGATTCGATAACCGCCGACACGTTATCATTTAGATTATAAAGGAATTACGCGATAATAGAAATGATGATAAAGAAGTTACGATAAAGCATTTTTATTTTTTTATTTTATCTAATATTATATAATCTGCATTATCTAAACAAATTCTAAACTTATTTTAATACATAGGGGAGAGTGGTCTAAATCGGACCTATTTGCAGTTTCTGCTCTCTATAAGGCGTAAATAAAGTCCGATCGTAAAATCGAAGCTGCTGTTGGAAAGATCATTTAATTCTCTTTATTTTTGCTTGAGATTATTTTGACGTATCTCTCACCTGTGTTAAACTATAATAGAAAGAGCGTTTTTACATTTTCCAATGGTTCCAAATCGGACCATCCCCTTGTTCAGATCGAAAACTCTTATTTTTATGGATTTTTAGATAAAATTTTAAAATATTTTAATGTATTTCTCTTAGTATTGAGTAAAAACGAGCAATTTGACAGTCAAAGATAAAAGTTTTTTCGGAAAAAGAAATTACTGACTATTTATATTATTAGAATTGAAATCAATAAAACTCAACTAATCTGAGTCTGATGACTCATGATATTTTACTGATTTAATTGCTTGGACCAGATCTGGTCAGTTAATCATCAGTACTACAACCAGACTTATAAGTTATTCACTGTACTGTTCGATTTGGACGGGTCCTTTCGAACTTTAGAACAAATTTTACAATAAACTGCAAAAGTGATCACGAAATGCTTGATATTTTTAAATTCTACACTCTTTATTATTTTAAATCTAAATTATCTTAAATCAATTACTTTACAAATTTTTAACACCTTTTAAATAATGATTTACAAGGATTTTCTTTTTTAAAAAATTTTCGTACGATGACTGAAAATACATATTTGCCTCTATTTTATGAATGTTATGACAGAGAACTGTCAAACTGCTATCGTATGCTCGGTGTCTTATAAGGACTTTACATTATAAATAGTACGCAAATCTGCTTTATATATAACCGTATTCATTTAAATTAAAAAGGTCCTATTTGGAACACGGTCCAATTTAGACCACTCTCCCCTATCTATAAGAGATATGCATCTCTTAGATTTAGATAGTGATCGATTTTTACACAATACTTACTTAAAAATTGATGAAAATAAAAGAAACGAACCCTATCAGCCGTTCGGAATAATCAATCGCTAGTATGACAACATATTGTCAAAGTTACAAAAGTCCGTAAGAATCTTTTACGGCTTTTATATCATTCTATTAAAAAAAGTTACATCGTAGAGAAAAAGGACGATATAGAATAAAGCGTACTTTTGTTATGTCCTAATCTAATTCAAAATAAATATCAACGGTCAACGTCGCCAAATTTCAAAAAGAAAAAGGAGAAAATTATTTTGTTGGCAAAACTGCTTACTTCATGAAGATTATCACTGTTAACGACAGATAGCGCCAGAGGCACGTGCGGCTTTTCGAAGCTTCTTCAAACGGCCGCTTGGTGTCCGTCCAGTCGTCCGTGGTATTCATGGCTCGTTCTAGACATTCTAGAACTGACCGCGCGGTGTTTACTAAAGTGTTCACGATCAGTAACAGTGACCGGTAATCATCGGCAGCTAGACTAGACGTTTCCGTGATCGATTCCGCGCGTTCTGGCCGCGCGGCGCGGAACAGTAACATCACGGCTACGCGATCTTTTCGCGATCTTTCCCCGATCTTTCCGCGATCTTCCTCTGGTGAGGACAGTCGGTCGCGTGACACGTTGCGTTCGGCGATTCCCGAACCGCCGGAACGGTATCGCGCAGCGTCAATGCGGCTCGGCGGCTCGTCGATGCGCGGACATTAAATTTCACCCTGCCGGACAGAGGGAGGCATTTGTGTGGGAAACCATCGGCGGCGGCGAAGAGGAGCTTCGGGCTCGGCGACGCCGGTGGAGGCAGAGACAAGAGGCAGTGGCGGTGGCGGTGACGGCGGCGGAGGAGGAGGAGAAGGAGGAGGCGGGGGGAAGCTGTTCATCGAACGGAACAGCCGCGCGCGCGGAGGAGCGGCGATACGGAGCGGAGGAGCGCGGCCCGAGCTGCGTTCGTTGTACGGTTCGTGAAACGGGCGCGGGCATATCACGGGATAGGAGGAGGCGGCGGCTGGCGGCGATTCCTTGGTAGGTAAGTTGTCCGATATAAGTACGTGCGGCCGTCGGCGTCGACCGCCGCGCGGCGTTCGACGCCGACGGCCATCCCGATTCGCGCCGAGGCTCGCGCGGAATCGGAAACTCACGGACCTCGCGAAACGGAGTTCGCTCTACCTCTCGGTAGAGAACGGCGCTTGCCGTTCGCCGTTCGCGCTCGACGATGAATGACGTAGGCGCGAGGGGTGTGTCGGCCCGTGCGTCTCTATTCGCAACGGCGTCGCGTCGCGACGCGACGTGGCCCACGCGACGTTCCGTCGCCGTCAATCGCCGTCGGCTTGAATGGTGCACGATAGCCGCGCCGATGACGCTCCGTCGACAACGAGTCATCGGACTCTACGTTTCACTCTCCCGTTCGACTTCGAACGGGATCCTTGAAATTCGTACTCCCTCCTCCCCGAAAATGTCGCCATTTGCACGGCCCTCTGTCACCGTCTCTGGACGCGCGGGCTACCCCGTGATGAACTTGTTATCGCGCTCGCGTATCTCGAGGCTCGAGCTCTCTCGGCGCGCTGACTCGATCAACACGATGGGCGGTGATCGACGCTTCTCGGGTTAAACGTCGTCGCGCTTGGCTAATTGTGCTCGCCCGTGCATCGCGGAACCGCTGCGTTTTCAACCTGTCCCTCGCCTCGTACGGGTCTCGTATTGGCGCGCAACGGCTTCCGTTGTGTCGTGTCGGGAGTAGTTTTGCGTATTTCGTCGTTAATTCCGCTAGAATTCCGATCCGTGACGCGTCCTGGTAGCTGTAGGCTATAGATAGATTTATAGAGGAGAGAGAGAGAGAGAGAGAGAGAGAGAGAGAGAGAGAGAAAGGTATAATCATCGCCTGTTTACGATAATTCTCATGTTTTGATGATTCACGTATTCTGATATTTTCGATTGTGTCCGTTAATGATTGCCGCAACAACAGGTTTTAGGGACCTACATTCGATCGAGACTGCTCGAGACAAGCCGCTTTAAGCAAGAGCATAGTGTGCGAAGTGAACACGACGGATCGTCCAACGTAGATAAAAATTAATACATGTAAATAAAAACGCGACATAAAAAGCTCTCTAAAACTTTTAGAGTGAATCTCACTCTTAAAAGATTTTTTTTATTCCTGCACTAAACTGCACTACAATTTTCTTTTTTGCTTTTGCCAAATATCAAACATATATCTATCTCACTTTAAGTTCCAAAAGTCTATCCATAGAAAACAGACCTAGAGATTGAAATCGAGCTATTTTTTTTGTTCTTCAAGACTGGCTCAATTTTCACTCGTGCGATTTTACTTCAAAGAATTTAGAGAGAATATTAAGCAAGAATAGCTGATATAATCGATGATCGTGTATATCCGTCTACTCCGCGTGATCAATTGTGTCTTTTCTTTTTATTGCCTCTCCCTTTTTTTTTCTTTCTTTCTCTCGGTGGCTGTTACTTTCATTTCTCGTAACTAATAGCGTTTCAGGACGCTCGCTCACTACGACGGGCGTAATCTGCGATTAACCATGACGTCATTGCGTTAAGTGTCCGCCGTCGTCCGGCCGGTCGAGCGTCCGACGATAATCCACGTTTGCGCGTTCGTTTTGGCGTGTGATGTCAGCGTTATTAAAGCGACAGATATTCAATGGCATGATGCCATTTTATTAAAAGTCGCCTGGCCGATCGCCGACTCCAGCGGTCATCGTTGAACATCGCTTCCAGATCGACATGACCGATTTATCGTCGTCGTCGTCGTCGTCGTCGTCGTCGTCATCGGCGTTATCGATCGCTCGTCCCTGATAATTATGTACTCTTGAATGATAATTCGACGAGTGAACTCGAAGGAAAGATCAGCTAGCTTGGGGCGATATTCGTAATCCAATCTTATATTTAAAATCATCTTAATTACGATCTTGAAATGTACACAGCGAAAAATGTTCTGGTTGAACCAGCTAAAAGATCCAACCAGAATTTTGATGAGGCCAGAGATGGTTATGATAATCAGAAATTCCGTTTGGCCTCACCAAAATGCTATTCTGATTGGGTCTTGTTGTTTCTATTAAAACATTTTGTGGAATTATTTTAAATTTATTTTGTTGATTTTGGATAGAATCTTGAAATTCTAGATTCTTCACAGATCTATGTTTTATTCCTGAACTAGTGTTTCTTATATTATACTCTTTGCACTTCAAATGATATAGATGTATATTTGATTTTTGATAAATACGTACTGAAAAAATTCCTGGTTAAAAATAAACAAACCAGAAGATTCTGATCATATCGATAAAAATTCTAGTTATCTCCAAGTAGAATTATATAATAGATTTAACTAGAAAATTCTGATTTATTCATTTTCAATCAAAATTCCAATTAATACAATCAGACCCTTTCCAGTGGAGAAACAAAGTGCAGCAATAAAGAAAACAAACCTTATACTCAGGATGATCTTAAATTTAAAATCAAATTACGCTTACCATTCCTAGAGATTCGGATACCAGTTGACTAATAAAAATTGCAAAAAAGGAGCTTTGCAAATGTTTAAGATTCTTTAATATGATTGGGTTGTATATTTAGATTTAGGAACTATCAGCAAGAGTTAGAAACTATTAACAAGAACTAATCATATTAAGAAATCTTAACAATAGTTGCAAAGCTGTTTTTTTCTACTAAACGCAATAAAACATGAGGCTTGGTCTTTGTCGCTGACTGGACTGTTCTAAAATTTCCTATCTCGCTTTAGCCAACTTCAAATAGCTGTTTCATTTGAAGTATAACGAGCGAATATGCTAGTTCAGCTACAAAGAACAGACCCATACAACTCAAATAAATCAGCTTGAAAAACTCGTATCTCTTCGGGCCGGCGAACAAGTGCGAGTGAGACAAGCACGTGTGCAGGTGCACACGAATGCACGCACGTACGCACGTACGCACTGCGTATAATTCCATACGGCTACAGATTGCGTAAGGGATCACTAATCATTGTATCATACGAGTCCCCGCGTCGAGCGTCGCAACAATCGCACGGACCGTTTCGAGCCTTTCCCTCATTTTTTTTCTTCGATCACGGTCGCTTCTACCTTCTACATGCAGATCGATCATCGGGTTAAAAAATAACAGGCCCGAGATAGAGACAGTGAAATTGACAATGGACCGTTGAATCGATGCGAGATACTATCTACTGATTAATCGTGGACTCACAAAACGCTCTTCGTTGTTTCAGTGCCGCTTAAAGTGAAGGTGAGGTAGGAAATCGTTGTACCTCGAGCACGCGATTCCTGATACCTGGAACGAGAGAAAGAAGCGAGATTAGCTGACGGAAAACGCGCGGATCGTCTTCGACTCCGTCCCTGGTCCCTCTCTATTTTAAGACGAGGACTCATAGACTCGCGCCAGTAAGCGTAGCGAACTCGGCCCGTGATCGCTTTCATTCAGCTTGCGGTGAGACCCGCATTGTCCCGTTATCGTCGAAGATAAGCGTTATTTACGAATAGGACGCGACTTCGGGAAGATGGAACTCTACTGATTTGAAATAGAAGTCGCTGTTGTTGCTTCGATTTGCAGTTATAGAACTTCGCCGAGGTACGGCCGCACGAACGGCTGCGAATATACAGGGAAACTGATGATTACTTCTCTCTAAATTCTTTGAAGTGGAATCTCAGACCTTACACACAACAAAGGAAATATTAGGAATAGCTATAATTGCTAAAATTTCGATCTATCAGAACTGCGTATTCCGGTGTAACTGGTTTCTTTTAAGTTGAAATCTTAAAGTGCAGGACCTCATTCTAAAGAGTGAAAATTGAGCTAATTTTGAAAAAGACTCAATTTTCAATCTTTAAGAGTGAAATTTCGCTGTTTAGAGTGAGATTTACTCTAAAAATTCCAGAGAGTTTAAAAGCACATAGTGCATAATCGAACCAGTGATTTACATATTATGGAAACCTGTCCCTTCGTCTGCTCGAAAAGATCATTGTGGTCGAGCATTCGTTGTTCACGGAATTCACATACCTTGTGTTCCTGTTGACGTAACGTTCTTTTTTTCCGATGATTGCCACTTGGTCAGTATCGCGGCCAATATTACGGCACCGTATCATGCTGTCAACGAAGCCAAACGCGCGTATACGCGAGGGACTTAAACGAAGCCACTTACTCCGAATACCTCAACCCCTTAACATTAATTACCATCAATTCGCACCGAGCCACCGTTCACGGTCGCCACTGCATTTTTTTTTCTGATCGATGTTTCTAAACTGAATTCGGTCAAAGTATATCGAAAGTACATACATACATCTTGGTTGACGAAAGAGAATCGTTGTCGAGCGTTCCTTGTACTTGGCAACATTTCAAATGACGATACTCTGCGAATACCAGGCGTTATTTTCACGTTAGGTATCGTTTGTATTTACTACCGTAAATCGTAAATATAGGTGACTTGGGACAGTGCAGGTAACTTGGGACAGCATGTATTTTTGTTAAATTTAATTGTGATATTCATCCACACACACACACACATGAGTCTCTAAAGAAAGTTTAAGTTTTAAATTTTCTTTAGTGACTTATGTGGATGGATACCACGATTAAATTTAACAAAAATACAAGCTGTCCCAAGTTACCTGCACTGTCCCAAGTCACCTACATTTGCAGTAGTTATTATTTTTTTTATGTGTATGTATAAAATTAATTATAATATATATAAATATATATAATATATCAGTATCTCTTGTAATCAATATTAATATTTATCTAAAATAAATATTAATATCAATTTTATTATAATTAAGATCAACAAATATTGATAGCAATGAAAATATATGTATATAAGCATGTACAAAAGTAAAAATAGTTGCTAAATATAATACATTATGATGAGATAATCGACGAATATAAATCTCAAACGTGTAACGCAGCGCCGAGTAACAGAATATCAAGATTCTGGTCTATCTCACATTAAGTCCACGGGATTATCGATTACTATTCCGACAGAGTATCAGGGAATACAAGACACACACATATATATATAATATATACATAATATATATATATAATATATATATAAAATCATGTGGAGGGAAGAATTTTGGTCCTTGTACAATCGGACGGGTTCAATTGTGTTTCGCGCTTGCGTGCTACGTAATCCTGCGGTCAACCATCGTGCTTTTTTCTCTCTTTCTCGTTTCTTTTATTCACTGTTGCAGCGGAAGTGCACACGCATGACGCACGTTTTCCGGAGCGGTAACCAATCGGAAATTCAAGTCACAGGCGCGGCGAAGCGAATCAGTCTCGCTGATAAGCGACTTGTCAATTTGCGACTTTCGTGAGTGATCTCCGTCGTGTATATCGATCTCGATGAGAGAACGACGTTGCCAGACGAAAGGGAATACATTTCGCGAATTAGAACGCGATGTTGCGGTCACGACGTAACGATGTTCACGCTAGCGAAACATCCAGCGTGGGATTTCCGGCCGATGGATGGATGACGAGGGAAACGCGGCGTGAAAAGGAGAAAAGCGTGATGCCGTAGGATGAGGACGCGCGTAGCCGGGTGCGAGAGCGTTGCGTGGTGCGATGCACCGGTACTTGGTGTAAGGAAAGCCAAGCGGTGAACGACCGTTGACACAGATCCCGAGCTGAGCGAACGTCGCGGCGAGTAAAATAGCCGGCACAGTTGAGCATTCTATTTTACATCGTTAACATCGTCGGGACGACGCCCGCTGCATGAGTAATTAAGGGAAAAAAAAGGGATCGAATGACAGACGTGGAACCTCCGAAACCCCCTCGAATAAAGGGAACCAGGGAAAGTCGTAACGCGTACACGGTGTTTGCGTCGTTGCACGCACACGATTCCCGGTAGGGCCCCGCAACTTTATTGATCGCACACCGGTAAGGTGTCCATACCTCGCACCGGATTCGGGAGAAACGAGTATAAATGCCACTTTCGCGTACACGAAACGGCATGCTTCGGCGAAACACTAGAACAGACCTTCATTGCTTTCAGTTTTTAGTCGTTCTGGTCGATTCTATTCTTCATTGTTCGCTGTTCTTAGAACAGACGCGTTAAGAAGTATTTAATTTGCCACGCGAAGCGTTTGTTTATTTAATATTATTAGAAATTCAATTCATTAATATTAATTTAATATCATTGAATCGATATTAATATCAATTTTTAATATTATTGAATTGAATATTATTAATATTTTTCTTTTTGATGCTTTTGCGCGTCCCTACTTTTAATGCCTATTACGCGGTGTCTACAATGGAGTAGTAAACCGTAAGAAATTGACCGATCATAGTCAAATGTGAGGAGAATAATTGACTATGATTGATCAATTTCTTAGGACCATTCAGACTTGCATAGCTGCATAAACGAAGCTGCATGCACAAAGAAAATTATCCAATCACATTTTATATACGTCCTTATGGTAGAAATTCAATTGTCTGTATAATTGGATAATTTTCTTTACGCATTTGGTTATGCAGCTCTATGCAAGTATATATAAATAAATCCTTAAGACTTGTTAGTAAACATCCACTTTACACGATTTGGAATAAATAACGTCGAAAATCTATCCAGATTTTTGCTAGCTAGTGATGATATTAGAACGTTATTCTTTACAGTTGCCGGTACTTGTACGAGGCTCGAAGATGGCAGATACGAGTCAACAAGCATTGAGCGAGCCACACACGAACGGAGTGGTGGACGGTTTGACGGAAGATGAAAAAAGCAAGATGAGACCCGCCGATATCGATGCGGTAAGTTTCGTGGAATATACGGCGATTCAACATTTCTTCAAGAATAGAAATCGAGGAAAGTTTAAATTCAACGGTTATTCGAGTTTCGCCAGAAAGGCTTGAAAAGCAAACGAATTACTTCAACCGTGTAAATGTGTTACAAGAGAATTCTATTCATTTACAGGATATGAGAGAAATGGAGAGGAGAAAGAGGGTCGAGATGATGATGAACTCACGAATCTTCCGGGAAGAACTGGAACGTATAATTGAGACACAGATGAGGGACGGTGCTGGGCCCTCTGGTCTCCTGCAACAGATCTCTGACATGATGGGTGCACAGGGAGCTCGATTTAACGGCAATGTGTTCAAAAGTTAGTCCTGCTCCGTTTGAAATTATTATTCCTTGAAAACGCGCCCTCCTCCCTCTTTTTTTAGTCTGACATTATTCTGACTCGGTTCATTCTGAAATGTGCAGATTCGAATTGCGTCTTGCCTATCAACGACATTCGCGGCGTGGAAAGCATGGGATACGCCAAAGGCGAGAAATTGTTGCGATGTAAGATGGCGGCGGTGTTTAGATTGCTGGATCTTTACGGATGGACGCAGGGCGTCGGCGGGCAAATAACTGCCCGTCTTAATCAGGACCAGGAGCACTTTTTGGTGAATCCTTACGGGCTACTCTATCACGAGGTTACCGCCTCGAGTTTGATTAAGGTGGACATGCAGGGCACGATTGTCGAGCAGGGGACGACGAACTTTGGCGTGCACATCACTGGTTTTCAATTACACTCGACAATACACGCTGCGAGACCCGATATCAAGTGTATTATTCATATTACTACTCCGTCCGTTACCGCTGTAAGTAAACGTTTCGTCTCTAGTTTCTTCACTCTGCGATGATCCATTTCTCGTTTGTCTCGTATATCTCGTATATCTTTTACGAGCGTTTGCATATTATCTTCAATTGCGTGATGTCACTTTAATAGCGATTGATGATGAACATTTATTAGCTCTGCTTTGAAAGGTATTGACTAACGCACGCGCGATATGATACGTAGGTTTCCTCCTTGAAGTGTGGATTGTTACCAATCGGTCAAGAGAGCATAGTGATAGGTGAAGTGAGTACCCATCAGTACATAGGAGGTTCCGTCGAGCCAGAGGAACGGGAGAAGATCGCTAGAAATCTCGGGCCGATCAATAAGGTCATGCTCCTGACGAATCGCGGCGCCCTTTGCTGTGGAGAAACAGTGGAAGAAGCGTTCTTTAACGTTTACAATACCGTAGTCGCCTGCGAGACGCAACTGAAACTAATGCCCGCAGGTGTAGATAATCTAAGCCTTATCAGCGAGGAATCGAAGAAAGCTATATTTGAAGCGTCGCGAAAACCGCCGATCCCGCAGCAACAGAGCTCAGCGGTAGAGTCGTCCGCTCTCGCGGAGAAACTCGAGAAACGCTGGAGAATCGGCGGCGCCGAATTCGAGGCCCTTATGAGAATGCTTGACAATGCTGTAAGTTTGTCCTAGAGAACTATTCGTCACTATAATACTTGTATCAGAGTTTATCTGAATATCGCGTTTCTTCTTTTTTCTCAGGGATTCCGTACGGGCTACATATATAGAAATCCACTTGTAAAGGGAGAACCCCCGAAACCACGAAACGATGTTGAAGTTCCACCGGCCGTATCATCTTTAGGATATCTGCTTGAAGAAGAAGAATTATATAAGCAAGGGTAAGTTTCTACTTCCCTTCGAACATATTTTGCTTCAGGACTATAGAATGAGTCAATGCTTAGCTAATTTTTCTTTTCTCAAACAGGCTGTGGAAGGGCGGACGTAAAGGCACAGATAGATCCCGTTGGTTAAATTCGCCAAACGTTTACCAGAAGGTTGAAATCCTGGAAACTGGAACACCCGATCCTAAAAAGATCACCAAGGTAGAAGTCATTACTTTTGAGAATAAGACCGACTAATTATTTACCGCACGATTTCGCTCGAGGCTAAATTTATTATAAGCAAGCATTCATATTTGGCAAATATAATCGCGTATTGTGGCTGCTAATCGGATTACGACTTCCGTAATAACGAAGGAAAAAGGAAAGCTTTAAATGTGTCAAGTGCAAAATTAAATAGTTATGACATATTAATATACATATTAATAGTTATAACATATTGATATACAAGTAGAACTGTTTATTTATTACATTAACTTTTTAGAGTTTTTGATTTGAGAATATAAATCTGTTTCAGATTTTTTGATAAATATTTCCTTTTGCCATTGTACTACAAATTTAACTTTAAATTTAAAAGAAAACACTTTGTCTCGATATTAGATTTTCGTGAATTTAATATTACGGTAATGTTATTAATTAAGATTTCGTAGTTTGTTTTCCGTGAATAATAACTTTATTTTATCGAACACTGTTATTGAAGATATTTTTAGCGATGATTAAGAAAGACGAATGCGCATATTTACGGCCGTAAATACTATAGATAGTATATTCATATATGCAATGCGACATAAAGCATTGGTTATTCCATTTTGTTAGCAGTTAGTTGCATTTTACCACACTGTGTTATATAGTTTTATCTTGTTTTTATCAAATTTTTTTATTCAATTTAATTTTATTATGCAAACACATACCAATATGTGGTAATTTGATTATTTATATCAATTCCAAGCATTCCAACTTGTGCTATTAATTCTTAACATGCTGATACGTTAAAATGTACTTTTTAAATTATGTAATTATTTTAATCATGGCAAATGTCTCATTGAACAAACAGTATAATATATCATTATATTGATGTTGATTACTGACATATATATTACTCTTTTTAAACTATAGATATAAATCTAACTCTTGTTACAACAGAGCTTCATTGATTTTATTTAATAAAAGCTTATTAATGCAATATAACAAATTACTTAAAGTTTAAAGTTGGAGCAAAAATCACATTTTCTATGCTATGGCCAATGTGTTTATATGTGCCTGTGTGTATGTACACGCGTACGTGCTTTATGTGTATAAGCATTGGTCACTATATTATACCTGATATTAACGAAAAAATATATATATCATCTCTGTTATTTAAATTATAATGCCAAAATTTTGATGCACAAATTTTTATCGACATACATACAATGTGTCTCACAATATGAAAATTATTGACTAATATGAATTATCATTGCATTATTCCTTATTTTATAGACACAATTAAAAAATGTAATATTTTTTATTATGACTATCTATATTTCGACAAAGATTAATGTCATGATTAGATACGTAACTCATTTTTTCAAGTCGTAAAAAAATGTTTTCTTATCATTATCACTATTTAATAAACAAAAATAAAAAATCTTTTATAATAATGTATAAGAATAATAATAAAACACGCAAAACGAAAGACAAAACGAAAGCGGTTAACATTTCCGCAAGCAAAAGTTACGAAACATTAACGTGTTGAATTCCAGTCAATCGTTAGTATAAGTATCTTTATATATATATATATATATATACACACACACGATATTAACGACTGTTCTTCTGTAGCTTCTTGATGTTTAAATAAAGTTATACGTGCTGTTTAAAGAGGATTATATCAACTTTAATGAAACTTCAACTTTAATAGCGTTCCAAGTACTATTCTTAGCCTATAGACGCTGCTACGTTAATAAATTTAGCGCTTTCTATAATATGATGCGAAGTTATGTGTATGTTGTCGTCTACAATATATTTATTGACACTAATTATATTATTTTGAAACATCTATTTTGCGAAATTACTCCCTATCAAGAGTAATTTTATGTGTAATCTTGGGGTAAAAATTTCGTACATTTAATAAAAGTGCAATAGAGTTTTATTTTATTTTATTACTGTGTATAAGGTATAAAATAATAATTTAATATACAGTACTGTATTTTGCTTAAGCACGTTTCAAACGCACTTTTGCCACAATAGTTATAAAAGATATGTATAAAACATATACAAGTGTTTCTTCGTGACTCTGTATGAATGTGTGCCTGATCTCATCATCAAGATTTTGTTGGCCTGGTTACACAGAGCCCACTGCATTTACAAAACCAGATCAAGTGACCCTTCATATTTTGCAAATCTAAGCTGTTTCCTTAAAACTAAATGTTAGGCATAGCAATTAATGTTGTTAGATTGCCGAATTGTACATTTGTAGCAGCATTGCATGTAATTGTATTGAATTTTGTTTTGAATCACTTTAGACATTGAATATATTATACAGTTTATGTAAAATATGGATTGCAACATGGTACATAGCTGCAATAACAAAATTATAATGTTAAAAATATGTTTGCTAGGTTTAATTATTATGGGATAATCTATTAAAAGAGGAGTGAAATATATGCAGCAGGCACACATAGCATGCAAGAGTCTTACTTTATGTTAACATAGTTGCTTCTTACAATAATTTGAAGAGGGTCGACTAATGTTCTGGTTTTGTGTGCAGTGGGTGTCTGATGGATCTCCTACCCATAGCAGCACACCAGTCAAGATAGACGGTGCTCTTCAGTTTGTTCCGAAAAATACCAATCCAAAGGAGTTCAAACAATTACAACAGCAGGTAAGTATTGTCAATTATATTTGCATCATTCCCTATTTGTTTTTGTTTCTGCTCTTTTCGAATATCAGCTAATTTGTATGGGAACGTACAAGTTTGATATACTTCGTCTCTCTAGATTAAAGATTATCGACGAGCAGAGAAAATATCGGCTGGTCCGCAATCCCATATATTGGAAGGTGTATCATGGGAGGAAGCTAAGAAAATGCAGGTACACAAATTTAAGCATCGAATCTTCTTGATTTAAACCAATTTAGATACATCCCATTTAATAAATTTAGCAATAAAAAAAACTTCCCGTTAAGTAGCAATAATCACATACTGTTCTGGTTTGAATTTGAATTGAACGATAGCATCTTTCTGACTATTAGTTACTTTATGAATTCCTGCAGAAAATATGTATGTTATCTTTAACTTGCATACTCGTTGTTTACAAGGACGCGACAATTAGTGGTACCGGAGAACAAGTAGTTTTAGTAGGAGCCGCTAGTAAGGGTATTATACAGCGTGGTTTCCAACACAATGCGATGGTGTACAAGACACCTTATGCCAAAAATCCTTTCGACGCCGTCACGGATCAAGAATTGGACCAGTACAAGAGAGAAGTCGAACGCAAACAAAAGGGAGATCCTTGTTAGTTCCATTCGTCACTTTTCTTATCCAATCTTTTCCCGTATTTATGCATGCGTCTTGTATTTGTACCCTGTATCTTAGAATACTCTGTACCCACTTAATGTTCACCGAAATGGAGCCATTAATATTACCTATTCTGTAAATAGACGATGAATCACAATCAGAATCCGAGGCCTTGTCATCCTTTAACATCAGTCGCGCGACGCATGAATCCAGCACTGCCAAGAGTCCTATTCAGTCACCAGTTTCTGTTACTTCGGAAACAGAGGAGGAGAGTAGAGACGGTAAATTTATGTGTTTAATTCACGAATGGATTTCCATACATATCATCGAATGTACCACATTTTGACCTTTCAATATATATGTACAGGGTGTTTCCAAATTAAATGGCAAAACTTCGGGAGCGTGTAGAGGAGTAAAAAACTAAGAAAAAAAGTCCTATAGACATATGCTCGTTTTTGCTCCGTTTCAGAGAAATCGAAAAAAAATGTTTACATTTCTTGCCATATCTAGCACCGACATATTTGATTACATTTTCCACTTTCTGTTATGAATTTGTCAGTCGCTCTTTGAAAGCCTTTAACAGTAGATGAATTTTGTCTTTTGCAATATGCCGCGTACGTATTCTAATAGTGAATATGCTGATATGGTTTTTGTATACGGTTTCTGCAACGGTAATGCTTTAAAGGCGGTGCGAGAATATGCACGACGATTTCCAAACAGAAGAGTGCCAAACCGAAGAGTGTTTATGTTGACATTTAATAGATTGCGAGAGACTGGA